GCTCAAGACGAAGAGAAGACAATGAGCGTTATTATCCGAGTCAAATAGAAATATCCAATGTTTTAGAGAAGCTAACAAGTGCATGAATAAAGTCGGTGAAGCGTACGAGTCAACGTAACACACAAAACAGAAAAACAACAAAGAAAGAACTCAGCCAGGAGCTGAGTTTCGCCCACAAGGGGTGAAACACTATGTGTGTCTCACCCACACCATGTATGCCTCGCATATGGGAAATTGTAGGTCTCTTCACTAGCTTTCCAATGCATATTGAATCACCTCATTCCGATGTCGGATAAAAGAATTAAAGCCAAAATATTGAAGACAACAGGAACTATCTTGAAAATTCGAGACATAGAACATGTATCAGAAGCTATGAAGAAACTCATAGTTTTTGAGACAGTGTTCACTGTCTCGGAAGCTATGAGACAACTCATAGTTTCCAAGATAGTGGCGGCTTTCTTAGAAACTAGAGCGAGCTTAGTGATGGTTTTCTCGAGTTTTGTGTGGTTCATGTGGCTTCATAACTATTAGGGATCATCCATAAACATGAGGAAGCCGTTACAAACGAAAATCTTACCTATAACTGTAGAAATAATGGCATTTAAATGTGGTGAGAGCGTTTACGAAAGGGCCAGAAATAAGCCATGTTTCCAAGACAGTGTTTACTGTCTTAGAAGCTATGAGATAACTCATAGTTTTCGAGATAGTGGCGACTGTCTCAGAAACTAGAGCGAGCTTAGTGATGGTTTTATCGAGTTTTGTGCGGTTCACGTGGCTTCATAACTAACAGGGATCATCCATAAATGTGAGGGAATCGTTACAAATGAAAATCTCGCCCATAACTGAAAAAATAATAGCATTTAAACATGGTGGGAGTAGTTATGAAAGAGCCAGAAATAAGCCCTATTTCAGAGACAGTGGCAACTGTCTTGGAAATAGGAGTTTGTCGAGGCAGTTTCTTTTCAACTTCAATATTCAGTTATGGTTCCTATGGGTTATAAATAGCCCCCTATCACCTATATGCATGAGGAGGAAGACAAAAAAGGCAGAGACTTAAGCAATTTGGTGATTTTGAGCAAGAGAGAAAGAGTCTTCATTGTTTTCAAGCACTTCAAAGAGCCTTCGGTGTTTCCTCGAGATCTAAGCTTTGACTTGATCTTAAGAAGAATGTTTTATCTTACTTTGCTAAGATATCCACTTCTGTCTTTATTTCTAAAATAAAACATCAACCTTAAGCCTTCTTCACAATTCAACTTAGATCTGTGATTCGGTCGTCCATGGGCTAACGCACCCCTGGCACAGGCAAAGATCCACGTAAGTAGCGGGTAATAAACATCATCTGCATGTATTTCTAGGAGGTTATTTATTTGTAACAAGAAGTCTTATAAAAAGGCTTATTTTTTTGAATTCATTATATTCGATAAATAATTTTTAATGAGTTCAGCAAATAAAATAATTTTTGACTCAAACAATACTTAAAAGGGTTTGGATCAACTGAATTCTAATTTAAGGAAGAAAATTCAACTTTCTTTGAAAAAAGTTTATTTTCTTTCTTCAAGTTTGTATTCTTCTTCTTAGTTTCTCATATTTATGAGCAATATTTTCTAAATGATTTACGTCTCTTTATACTTAGTAAAGTTCATCAGAAGAAGGATATTCCTCTTCATCAAAATACTTACTATCAGAATGACTTGAGTTACTTTGATCTGAATCTGAAGACAAAACACCTCTTCCCATTAGACACTTATTCCCTTGTTTATCTTCTTCACTTGTCCTAACTTTAGATTCATCCTCATTTGCCAAATCTCAAGTTATTACTTTAAGACTCATACCCTCCTTCTTCTTTTCCTTTTTGTTCAATTGGCATTAATTCTTGTAGTGATCTGGTTTTCTACAATGATAATATATAAGTTCAGTTTCAGAATCACTTGAGGAATCATTATTTACCTAATTTCCTGCAACGATAACAAGATATTTTTGTCCTTTCTTTGATTTTAGAAAAGACTTGAATTATTTTGTTAACAATATATTTGTATCCGTTCTTTTATTTTAGAAAAGAGACTTGAAACCTCTAGCAGTAAGCACAGATTGATCATCCTATCTTCTAAACTTGAGTTTGGCTCCATTATCTTCTTTGATTAGGATTTGTCCTTCTTTGCTTGTAAATCTAACGACTTCTTCTTTGAATCTTCTTATGCGGCGCCTTCTCTCTTTTTCAATTGGACTTTGTATGTTATAAGACTGCTTACACGATTATCAAGTGGTAGATTAGAAAAGTTCTAAAGTTCTTCAATTGCTGATACCTTTGGCTCCCAGTCCCGAGATAGAGAATATAACATTTTTTCTGTATAGCTCCTTGTTGTCATATTCCTTCCCTAAAACTTTTGGTTTGTTGATAATATTAGTAAATCATGTGAACATCTCCTATATGCTTTCTAAGGCTTTCATCTTAAAATTCTTATATTTTCTTACAAGCATTATGAGCTTTACTTTCATAACCTGCAAAGTTCCTTCATTTGTGAGTTCAAGTTTTTTTCCCAAATTTCTTGCATAGTAGAACAATTAGAAACATGACTAAATTCTTTAGGAGTAAGAGAGAAATATAACGTATTCCTAACATTTGAATTATAAGAATGTAGTTTTTATCCTGTGGTGTCCACTTATCTTTAGGTAGAACAATTGTAACACATCTACCTCAGTAGTAGATTCATTATACTCACATTCTAGACTTTTGCAAACATCAAAACTTGTCTGAGGTAGATTCGTTATACTCATGTTCTACACTTTCGCAAACATCAAAACTAGTGGACAACAAAAAAATTTCATATGTGCTTTTCGGTATAGGTAATTGGTGCCATCAAAAAGTGGAGATCGGTTTACAGCGTGTCCTTCAGAAAAAGCTCTAGCGGTGGTAAGGCTTAACATCTCTATCTTATGTTGTGATGCCTAATGATGGGTAATGACATTCTGATACTTGTTGGATTCTGGAGTATAAGCCTAGAGGGAAGTGAATAGGATTGCTACAATTTTTTGGCAAGACTCAAAACATGTAGCGAAAATAAAATGTGAAAAATTAAAAGTAAACCAACACAGGAACACGCAAATTTTTATAGTGTTTCGGATTAAAATCCTACGTCCACTCTTCCTTCTCGCGAAGGGCCTTCTTCACTATGACTGGAGTTCTCGTAAATCACAACCCGATTTGGTAGGCTTTACAAACAAGATCCCTGAATGTACCTGAATCTAGTCGACTAACCTAACTTTTCACAATGACTAGAAGAAATCTAGTCCTAGATAGCCACCCTCAATTCACCTACTTGAGTAGGCTAACCCTCAATTACCTAGACTTGAGTACGTTGTCAAACTCACAAGTTTGATATCCAAAATCAATCCAAAAATAATTAAAGTGTAATTAAAAAGATATCAGGGCCCTTTCAATAGACTGCTCTTCAAAACGTTGATATTAAAGATCAGTGAAGAAATGATGTTGTAGTTGAACACAAAGGGCACTTCTCCCTGCTAAAATATTCCTCCAATATTGGGAACGACGACAAGAAGTTGAACGAGGCTCTAGGGATTAAATTCTCAAATCAAATTCTCTCCCTAAACCTCAGAATGGATCTCTTCTTTTTATTCAATCTCTTCGTCGTTTATTATGATCTCTATCTCCTCTTAAGTAGGCCTTAATAGAATAGAAAAGATATACTCAAATCAGCGTCCAAATTAGAGATCAAATAGGTTGGTGAACGGCTGAGATTAACTCTGAAAATATGTCAAATCTCTTTGCTTTTTGGATTTCCGTGGTTGTTGATTGTAGTCTATCAATGGTCCTTGCGATCATTGATGATTGACTGTAGACCATCGATGACTCAATTTCTGATTTTTGTTTCTACAATTGTATCGATGGTACCTCGTGACAATCGATGGTTCAAAGGCTGAAATTAACATTTATGTTGATTTTTACATTATTTTTAATCATAACTCCTTCGTACCTGTATATACCTAAAATATATCATTTCTCAAACATATCAGTAGCAAATGAGAGCTTGTTATTTATCAAGCAAGAGATATTGTACGAACAACGTTACACCCTGAATAATGTTCTAACACCTTGAGGAATGCAAGAAAGATTGTAGCTTTGCAATATTTGGAAATTAAGGAGATTCAAATTTATCCCCCATGGACGTAAACCATTACAGAACCATAAAAATTTTGTGTCTTTGCATATTGTTTAGTTTGCTCTACTTACTATTTTTCTCTTTCGTTTAAATATTAATTGTTTTTTTCTCGGTGTTCTCCTATTTCCGCGGTGATGAATTACTCTAGTAGACGGAGAAGATCAAATTGGGAAATTCATGTTAAAGTCCCCGCACCGATCACTGATTATCCACAATTAATATGAGTCATGAGAGTCTGGATTCTCAACAATTAATATCAGAGTTGATTTTTTGCGAACAAATGCGATGAGAGCGAAGTGTGTCGACATTAACCTCTATTATTAATAAGACTTTCGATGCCTATTTAAATATTTAGAAATTTGTTTAGATTCAAGATTTTCTATATTCAACAATGGCTCCAACTTGCATACTAGAGGACAATCTTCACGTATTGTAATCACTATAAGGAAAATATTAATAATCTCTCAATTATTGTTAGCTAAACGTCATTAACTTCGCGAGTCTTCTTCACTACGCATTTAGAAACAGAACTCACATCATAAAAATCTAAGATCTCCTACTCTTTTTAGTGTCTAGTAATGAACAGGAGACATTGTATTTCTTTTAGGATATTATTCCCCCGGAATCGGGGTCCTGACTCGTCTAAGAAATGAGTCATATTTGTTAACCGTCATGCTTTCTATCTCATCAACACTAAGCAATAAGGTCAACAAAATTCCAACACTATCATCCAGAAAACAAACGCACAATCGACACGTATAAAGACACCACGGTCCAAAACAGAAACGTGCGGCGTCTGTAGGCAGCCACGCGTCAGTTTCCACCCACGTTACAGCAAGAGGGAAGCCTAACCGCTTGCTCCTCTCCCTTAAAACCCCTTTCATCCTCTTCCCTCGTATTCACAAGCAACCCAAACTGTAACACTGTGAGAATTCTTCAGTTTTCTACAATGGCTAATAACATGAAGGTGTTTCTGCTAGCACTTATGCTGGCTCTCTTTGTAGCGGTGGTGTTGACGAAATCCGATGGAGATGTGGAGGAGACCGTACAGGGAATGAGAAGAGAAGGAGAGGAAGGATCTGAAACATGGACAACATGGGCCAAGGACAAGATCTCCGAGGGTTTGGGCTTCAAGGATAAAGCTGATGAAGAAGAGGGAGCAAGAAAAGCAAGAGAGGGCGTAAAAAGTGCTACAGAAAAAGCCCAAGATGTAGCCTCTGGTAATCCAAAGAACTCTTCTTAAATCCCCTTCCACTAATTCAAAACTTTAAATTATTTTGTGGTTATTTTGTAATTATTCGTTGCACGTCTTTTAGAGTAACTTTAACTATACTAGACTTACTTAAATTCACATCGAAACTGTGTTTAGAATTGAGAACTAAAGTGGCAAAATATCATAGAACACATCCCCCCTCCCTCTCTTTTTTGTCTGATATTTTGAAGTTAAAAAGTTAAGGGGAGTTTTCGGATAATCATCCAAAGATAAGTCGGGGTTCTCTGAGCCAATTAAAATTTATACTCTGACAATTCTAACATCTAGTTTTTTGGTCTTATACGACCAAGAAATTAAATAAATTTATGTAGATGTGTAAGAATGTAAAGCTGTTGGATGTGATAGATGTTGTGTAAGCAAGTTAATGTTTATGCACTTCTACAATCGTAATATAATATCTTGATTTTAATTAATTAGTTTTTCATTTTATGTGAACAAGGGATCAATTACTTAGTTTTATGTTGACTAGCTAAGAAACTGAAATTGATGGTTCAATAAATAGATGTCGGAGGTTATGCTGCTGACAAAGCCGGAGACCTCAAAGAAGGAGCCAAAGAAGGAGCCTATTTGACCGGAGAAGCAGCAATGCGAAGCAAAGACAGGGCTGCAGGCGTAGCCTCAGATGCCGGCAGCTATGCCTCTGACAAGTCCGAGAAAGCCAAAGATGTAACCGGAGAAGCAGCAAGAAAAGGCGAAGGCACTGCTGCAGATGCCGGAACATACTTCAGCGAGAAAACAAGCGAAGTAAAAGACGCTGCGATGGAGAAGGCTTCACAGGCAAAAGAGGCATCGGAGAGAGCTGCGGAGGAGGCGAGTAGAAAAGCGGAAGAAGCGAAGGAGAGGGCGAAGGAGAAGGCTAAGGCAGGTTACGATGGTGCTAAAGCTAAGGCGGGAGAGACCTTGGATTCAGCTAAGGAGAAGATATCTTCTAGCTATGAGGCTGCTAAGGAGAAGGTTGGGGGCGGAGGTCATAGGAGGGAAGAGGAGCTTTAAGTGTTTATGTGGGTTGTAGCGTCGTGGTTTTGTTTGACGTAATTACCTTTTTTTCCTTCTTGTTTTCCAAGAATGTGATGCTTTGTATAAATATAGTAGTACTTTTATAGATTTGGAGATCGTTTTAAAAGTAAAGCAAGTGGTGGAAGTAGAATTTATTGTTATTGTGGCATTTCATTTACAGCTCATATTGCAAGCATGAGGAGACTCGACGCTCCACGCAATTATTTTTGACGTGGGGGGATCCTAATTAATGATGAGCTTTGGTGGATTAATCGCGGTATCTGCAAGAATTAGTTTGGTTGATTAATCGGGATATCTTCACGAATTTAACATGTGAGCAACATTTCTTTTCCAGACACAAACAGTTCTTTTCGAGAAACAAACTTGTGATTGCTGCACATGGAATCAGATCCATCAGGTTGTGCCTTCTTGTAGAAACGGCGAAAACATTGGAGAAGATACGGTGAAAACATTGGAGAAGATCAGGAAAAATGGAGCTGACAGACATTCGGGTGCTCTCCGGTTGACCGCGAGTTTTGACACGGTCGACCGGTAACGTGCACGATTTAGTACACTAGATTTTTGGCTGGTCGACCGCGACAATTTCAACGGTCGACCGTCAGACGCTGTAATTGAATTTTGGGTTTGTAGGCGTCAAAAAATGCTTACAGACATCCAAATACCACTCAAGGCAAAGAGAAGACGATAAACGCCGCTCTCTTAATCAGAAGGTAATGATTCAAAGGAAGCGAAACAACATGGAAGAACAATGTACACTCCAACCGGCAGGACATGGTGCCGCGGCTAAAGCGCGGCAGCCCATGGTGCCGCGGCTAAGGCGCGGCAGCATAGGGTGCCGCGGCTTAGGCGCGACAGCTTAGGGTGCAGCGGCTATTATAAGAGAGTGTTGTGGCGGTTACAAGACAGTTGTACGATGATTATTTAAAGTCCACGTGGCAGCATACCAGAGATAGAACGTGTGCCGACGTGGACAAACAGTTAAACCACGAAAAAGGTGGTTAAAGGTCGTGGGAGAACGGTTTCAAGCACGATAGAACGTGCTGGTAACTACCTCCTTGGCCGTGTTGGCCTTCTTGTTTTGATGATGTTTAACAAACAATTTACCACTAATGTTGTTTGTCTAGTATTTGTGTTTTCTTATTTATTATAGACAAACAACGTGGTTGGAGGATGGATGGAATAGAGCTTCAACGATCATATCAAATGGAGGTTGGCGGAATGTCCGGTGAAGCGCTTGCTATTCAAAGTTCAAGATCCAAGTTAAAGGCTTCATCCGAGAGATTACCTAGAAGCGTTATTGAAGATGCAATGGATCTAGCTTGGGTAATTTAGTTTAGGGAGTTTATATTAATCGTGTGATTAGTACTTTCAAGCTCAAATCATATACACAATACACGTTTGGTAAGTTTTGTATACTATCATAGTTATATATATTACATATTGTTTTGGTTTGATAGTGTTCAAGTTTTACTTATGATAACAATTGAATACTATTTAGAAACGATATTTTTGTTTTCATAGCTTATAATGCAATATATGATTTCATAATATCAATTTTAGTTTAGTTGCAAGTGAAATGCATGTTTAGTGTCATTATATGTGTATTTTGATAAATATACCATTCATTGTTTATAGACTTCATAACAATAGTTTAACATCTTTCTTAAGTCTATAATATCATTTTGTAAAGTTCAAGAGTTGGCTTTAGCCAAATGTTCACAAATTCACATGTTACAGTTTTCGTGTTTTGACTAGTTTTGCTAAATGATGCATATTTTTCATTTGGGAAGTTCTTTTCGCCAAACCAGTTATTGTAAGCATGTTTATTATTCATGTCTACAATCATTCCCAAAAGTTTTATACATTTTTGGAATTTATTTGATATTTTAAAAGTGTTTTACAATCAGCCAAAACATGTTTTTCAATATGATTCAGATCTCGGTCGACTCAGGAGCGCCGCGTCGACCGAGTGCATTTGGTCTTTCGTTTACTGGGCGACAGAGAGTCTGTCGGTCGACCGGTCCGGTCGACCGAAAGCTCCATCGGTCGACCGCACCGGTCGACCGACGATCGTCCAGAGCCATTCTTTGTGTTTTTGCTCTCCATCGGTCGTCCAGAGCCATTCTTTGTGTTTTTGCTCTCCATCGGTCGACCGACAATAGAGCCGTTAGACTTCAACGGCTATTTCTGAGCTGGTTTTTTTGGGGGCCTTTTGGTCTTTCTGTTTTGGGTTTTTGGCTGAGTTGTGATAGGGTATAAATACCCCATTGCCTTCAACTCTCAAGCCAACTAAGAGAATTGTTTAAAACAAGTTTAAGGGTGTTTTGTGTTTGTTTAAAAGAGTGTTTAAGATTTTGGTTTGTGAAGATAATTTCACAAGGGCTTGAGGAGATAATCTTTGGTGTTTGGGCTTCAAATCATCTCTCTCTCACTCTTGTCATTTATTGGAGAAGTTTTCTAAACTCAATCTAGCTTTACATTTTATTGTTTGATTATCATTTTATTAAGCTAGTGTTTATATTGAGTTTAGTTGATTTTATTTATCTCTTTGTACACACACAACCTTTGAGCTTATTGTATTTACATTCATAGTATAATTGGGTTGTGGGATTGTGTAACTTAGAGAGTGAGCTCATAATTCGTTCTCATTCATTGTAGAGAACAAACACTTTGTATTGAGCCTAATTGTGAGGATTCACTTGTAATACACTTGTACACCGAGAGAAGTGTGTGGTGAGAGACGGGGTCGAATCCAAGAGGAGTGGTGTCGGTTGACGTGCCTAGGGAGAGGTTGTAACCGAGCACTTGAGGAGGAGGACACGGGCTAGGACCAACACTTAGTGTGTGAGGTGTGATTACATAGTGATTGTATTGTGAGGTGTAAACGTTGTTCGGGTGAACGTAGAAAACCCGGTTGTGATAGTGGAGATCTCCTCGAGGTGAGGAGCGGGGACGTAGGTCGTGGGGACCGAACCTCGTAAACATATCATTTTGTTTGTGATTGCATTGGCGTTCTTATTCTTGTTTTCATATCTTATATCGCCTTTGTGTATTGCTCATCATATTACCCTATCACTTGTGTAGATTGTTTATTTTACCCTTGTGTTAGTTCATATATCCTTGCTCATACATTTGTAATATCTCATTGCTAGGATATATCCCTTGTTCATATTGTTTATCCTAGCTCATATATCTTGTTGTATTTTATACTTGCTAGGATAACTTATTAATTAGTTTTAATTGGCATTTAATCGGATTAGATTAGCATAAGACCCTAATCACCCCCCCTCTAGGGTCTAACAATTGGTATCAGAGCTTGGTGCTCTTTGATTTAAGGTCTAACCACCTTGAGTTAAAGATCCAAGTTATCTTATTTGTGCTAATCTAGTTATGATTGCATTTGTCTTGCTTGCATATGTTCATATATATATCTTGAATATGAATGTATTTTGTTTAGGCTATAAATCCAATGTTGCTCCTAAATTCATTAATTTTCCCTATGCACAATGGGCTTCTAGATTTAAACTATTTGTTGAATCTAGAAATATTGACTTATGGAAAATTATTGATTGTGCTTATATTGTGCCCACATTGGAGAAATCCAAGTGGAGCGATCATGATAAGAAAATGTTTAATATGAACAAGTTTTTGTTAGAATATTTGCTTAATGCCTTTGACTCATCCTTTTCTAACAAATTTGTTCATTTTGATAGTGCTTACAATTTATGGAAATTCATAGAAGCACATCAAGGCAACTTGGAGGAAATCCGACGTAGTTTGGAGGATTGTTCTTCAAGTGAGTGTGGAGCATCATCATGCACACGGCCACTAGGCGATAGCCCTAGTGTGGTAAGCGATTCGGAATCCGATAGTGATATATCCATCAATGAACTCGCTTGTGCATATGATAGATTATCTCATGCCTATACAAAATTGCAAAACAATTTTATTGATCTTAAAAGCAAGCATATTAGTTTAAAATCCGATCATGAGTCGCTAGCTTCCAAACTTGATATTGTTGTTAAAGAGAATGCTATTTTAAAAGAAAACAATGAGTTATTAAGTTTGGAAAATAATAACATGTCTTCATCTATTGCTAGCTTAACTCATGCTAATAATAATGCCATGATAGAAGTAGAAACTATTAGAAATAAGTTTAATTCTTTTAGAAATGATCATGTTTCATCTACTTCTATTTCCAATGCTTGTATGCATAATGATGAATTGAATCTTGTGAAAAACCGAATATCATCTTTAGATTCAACCCTTAAAACATGCATTGTAGATAATAAGAAACTTATGGACTTGGGTGCAAAGTCTAGTACTACAACTTCTAAACCCGTACACTTTGCACACTTGTATAGTAAAACTTATAAATGCTCCATTTGTGGTCGAAAAGGCCATTTAGCTAAGTTTTGCTATGATGCACAAAAACATAAGAATATTAATTCTTCTTGTGCATCTCATAAGGCTTCTTCTTCATCACATGTACACACACATGCACCCATTGTTCATCATAAGCATGCTAATGTGTATCATTGTGATTTTTGTGGTAGAGTTGGTCACTTAGCCAAGTTTTGTTTTGATTTGCGAAAAGTTTCTAAATCGCAAAATATTTCAAGTAGACCAACATTATTTCAAAATGTTTCTCATTTGCAAAATAATCTTAAAAGACCATCTTTATTTGCAAATGTTCCTCGTGCACATCCACATGGTCAACATAACCAAATGCATCCTCTTCATTGCACTTATTGCAATCGAATGGGTCATTTGCATAATTATTGCTATGACCGGACCCGTGCACTAAATGCGCCCAAATGGGTTCATAACCCTAGGGCTTTGAGCTTGAATGATAGGGGTCATGTCCCTAAATCGTTTGGTACCAAGAGTTCTTGGGTACCAAAAGAAATTTGATTTTAAACAAAGAATTTTAGTATTTTTATTTTTCTTTGTCTTGGTTTTGAAAATTATGTTTTAAGATCTTTTGGTTATGAAAACAATTTTTCTTTTATCAAATCTTTTGTTTTCATGATTATTAGTTTTGATTTTGATGAGAGATGTGTATTTATATAACCCTCCGGGTTTATTGGGTGTTTATTCCCAAATCATGTTTACCGGATGCTTAAATGATTATATGAGT